AATTGTTTATTGAAGTCAAAAATTCTTCTTAGAAATAATCTAGTCACAAATAATAAATAGTTTTAAAAATTAACCTTGAGAAAATGATAATGTGGGACAGTGAGAGAATACATGAAGAAGAAAAAAGTTGGGTGAGTGAATGAGAAAAGGAATGAAAGCAGAAATAAACAATTGTATATCGGTGGAGAGCAGGGTGTAGTAGAAAGGACAGTGAGCTGGCGGAATCTGAGTCCTCGGTTTGTGTCTCACTTGCTGTAAAGCTGTAAAGCCCTGCGCAAGTCAGCTCTTCAAATGATCTGAATCTTCTCATCTGCACAGTGGGTCAGAGAAGGTTGAGACGAGAAATATGAAGGATCACTTCGGGACTTACAGTCATCTCTGCTCGCTCCTTATCTTATCTTCGTTTTTTTTAAAAAAAAAAATAATAATAACAAATACATTTAAGAATAAGGGATCCCAGGATTTTCTTAAAGCACTGGTTACCAGGGTGCCACAGGCCCCAGTGAGAAGCTGATAAATCTGATGTGGTCTTTAGGAATATGTACATATACAAGGAAATACTTGGTTGAGAATTTCAGAGAGTTCTCAGGCATCTGAAGGCTCACAAGAGGATTGCCATTGCCGTGAGGGAATGTTGACCTTAGAACTTTTGTTCTCCTCCAAGGTGACCTCTGGACTTTGTCTTCTGCAGGGGACTGCTTATGTGTGTTTCCTTGGGATTTTGAGGCATCCCAGAACATAGTGAAAAAATTGGAAAGACTTTCCTTACATATAAACCTTGTTATTCAGGTGAACCAATTTTCTCTTTGTAAATCAGGACATTTGCAAATGATTCATTAGCTTTGGCCCAGATAACTCCATAACAAATGCATTTGCTGCGTGGTGCAGATGATGTATCAGCACAAACAGCTCACTGGGCCCCTATTAATTATATAGAGAGAATGAAGGAAGTATGAAGAGGCAGTCACAGAAATTCCAGTTAGGGGTATATTTCCCTGGAAGAACTAGGTACCCTATGTTGAAAGAATCCTATAAGCTATCTGATCCTTTTTTTTTTTCAACAAACATGACAGTGAATCCTTCATTCTTTGTTTCATTTAGTCACCTAATATTTACTGAGCATCAAGCAAGGATGCTACGTGCTGGAGATAAATAAATAAACAAAAGAGATACACCCCTTGTCCTCATGGAACAAATGTGTGGAGGTGATAGTAAGAAAAGGATCACAGAAAAGAATATACAATTACCGTAATTATCAGGAGTTGTGAGAGCAGTTAAAAGGTTTAGGGGGTAGAACACACCTGGTAAGGAGAGGTCAAGGACATTTTGGCAAAGGAAGTGATTTTAGAGCTGAATTGTGAAGGGTAAGATGGAAGTAAACTGGCTGAAAAGTTGGGGAGAGGGGAGCTCAAGAGTTACAATACATTGGGCTGAGGCACATGCGCCATATTTGTTGAAAAAAAAAAAGTCCAGTGACGCGGGAGGATAAAAATATAATTAGAAGAGGTTGGAAAGGCATAGGGGTCACTCATACAGGGTCTATAAACATCTGAATATTTTGACTTTTAATGCAGGGGCAATGAGATGCCTGTGGGGGAATTGAAGGGATGCAGAAATTAATCAAAACACCAATGCAAACAATTTCAGGTTAAGATTTGGCATGAGAAAAGCATTTACTGAATGTTTCCTGTGTGTACCATTAGACCAGCAATAGGCAAACTTTTCCACCAAAGGCCAGATAGTAAATATTTTAGGCTATGTGGGCCATGATGAGTTTTTTTTTTTTTTCCTTTTTTCACAACACTTTACAAATATAAAACCAATCTTCTCTCAAAGACAATGTTAAAATAGATTAAAGGCAGGATTTGGGCACCCAGTGTGTGCTCAACCCCTGCACTAGATGACCATAAGCTCTATGATGAAAAAAGATAATAGTTCTCTTTCCCACTATAGAATTTTCAATGCTCAAAACAGCAGCAGGCACATAGTGAGTACTTAATGTAAATTTATTAAATTAATTAGTAGCTGAACCAGGTGTTTTAATTATGTAATATATCTATTGATGAGAAAAACAAATGATATGCTGATATAATTGTCATTGACTTTTTCATTATTGTTGCCACTGTTATTCTTGCTGTCATTATTCACAAGTCAAAGATAAGAAAATAGTTAACTTTGCCCAAAATCATATAGACAACAAGTGACAGAGCCAGAATTTAAACAAGTCTACAAAATTTCTAATCCTATGCTCTTTCTTATGATTACACTGCCTCTTTTGTAAATGACACATAAACACTGTGTAATATTAGTAAACATCAGATGACAGAAGCACCACCAAATACTAAGGGGGAAATGTGCCATTTTCAGAATGGGGGACAGAGAACATGCACCAATCTCCTCCTTTCTCCTGAGATGATGGTAAGTGTTAAAGACCTGGAACCAACCCACATGCCCATCAAGGATAGACTGGATTAAAAAAAAAAAAGTGACACATATACACCATGGAATACTATGCAGCCATAAAAAAGGAAGAATTCATGTCCTTTGCAGGCACATGGATGAAGCTGGACACCATCATTCTCAGCAAACTAACACAAGAACAGAAAACCAAACACCGCATGTTCTCACTCATAAGTGGGCATTGAACAATGAGAACACATGGACACAGGGAGGGGAACATCACACACTGGGACCTGTCAGGAGGTGGGGGGCTGGGGGATGGATGGCATTAGGAGAAATACCTAATGTAGATGATAGGTTGATGGGTGCAGCAAACCACCATGGCACGTGTATACCTATGTAACAAACCTGCACGTTCTGAACATGTATCCTAGAACTTAAAGTTTAATTTTTTAAAGAAAAGAAAGAATGCTTACAGGCCGAAAACTTTAACAAAAAAAAAAAGAAAGAAAGAAAGAGAAGGAGATGGAGGGAGGGGAGAAGAGGGAAGAAAGGAGAGAGCACGGGAGAGAATAAAACAAAAAAAAAGCATCATGGATGAGAGAAGTCACGCTTTTCAGGATCAGGTGACACTGTTCACTAATGAGGCAGAGTGTGTATGTATGAAAGAGATTTTCACTAAAGTAATAATTACCTGCCCAATAGGTTACAGATATGAATCTCTCTCATAATCTCCTATGACCAGGTGTTACTGCAAGTTCTGTGGATTTTATCTATCAGGGAAGGAAGGTGTCTGTCTCTTCTTGTAAGCATTTCAAATATTTATGTTATTTTCTTGGCTTTCCTATTACTTGGCTTGGAAGATATTGAGAATTTCCTTTTTCTTGTCTTATGGAAGAAGAAGAGAAAACAACTTACCTAGAAAATTACATTTTTCACAATGGCAGCAAAAACCCAGGTTACTCTAATGTCTGTCATCCCCTTTACCTACCCTAGTCTTCTTATGCATATTGAGGAATGAGGAAGAGGGATGCTAGTGTTCCTAACAGGAAGGTTGCTTGCTGGTTCCTTGCAAGATCTAGGGGTCAGACATGAAGGAAGCCAACCCAAAGTTGGCTATTTTTAGGTTTCTATTTAGAATATAAGCGACAGGATATTTTGTCTTTAGCTTTGGGACTTAGATACAATTTAGACTATACAAATAAAAATGTCATCAAACGTCTTATTATAGCAATATTCAGTCCAGTTTGGAAAAATAGCACTGAAAATTACAGGAGGACATTTTCTGAGGGATATTGATGGTGGGAGCGATTTGACAGACACTCTAGTATAATTGTTAGCTTGGAGAGACTTAGAGATATCATAAAAGGACAGAGCACAAAGAAAAAAAGATAATCAGAAATTTTGGAAATGAACACATAAACCAAAAACAATAATATGTTTAAAATATGAAGCTAACTAAAAAAATATATGAAGCCAACTAAAACATGACATAATTTTGAGCTATTTTATCTTTTTTTATTAGCAGAGTCTACAATTTTACTGGTGTTCTGAACATCCCCCTTGGCCTGATGGTGGCCAATGCCATTAGGAGCAGTGTGAAGACAGAGTCGTAGTATTTTCTTTGGCTCTATATTAATTCAGTTTTCAGATTCAATTGTTAGAAGCAGCCTAGAAACACACCACAGAGGACTGAATTAGGGGACACTCTCAGGGTACAGGTTCAGCCCTTGCTCTACTTTCGTTCTTAAACTTTGCCCCCTTATTACCTTGCTTGCCTGTCCTTAATCCCAGTCCTGTCCTAGCATTCCTAACCACTCTGCAAGGCTGCATTATTTTATCTTTCTATCATCACCATAGCAAAGTGACTGGCATCATGTAGGTCCCTGCCACTCAAAGAGTGGTCCAAAGACCAGCAGTATGAGCTTCCCCTGTAATCTTTTATGAAATGCAGAATCTTAGGTGCTACCCCAGACCTGCTATAAAAGTATTTGCATTATAACATAATCCCTAGATAGACTGTATGTTCATCAAAATTACAAATCACTGCCCTAACTCAATTTTCTTCCTAATGAGGACCTACCTGCTCTTATACCTATTTAAACTAGTTGTTTGGATTTTTTTGTGGTTTTTTTTTTTTGTTGTTGTTGTTGTTGTTCTTATTGTCATTTTAAAGCTGTCACTATAAAATACAGAAAAACCTCAGAACGAGAACTGGAGAGAAAGAGTGATACAATGGTGACGATCACACAATTTGGAGTGGGACAGCGTTGACTTCAAGTTTTAGTTTCACCACTATATAGCTGGACACCTATTTACTTTTCCTTAACTTCAGTCTTCTCAAATGGGCACATTAGTCAGTTCAGGCTTGGCTACACTGTGTAACATACAGACTTCAAATTTCAGAATTCACGTCTATATGTCTATGTATGGCTATGACTCTCCTCTGTATTGTCTTTGCTTTGACAAAACTAGGCTGATTGGGCAGACTCAATCTCAGACTTTGTTAGTCTAATAGGCAAAGAAAAATCAGATATGACAAAGCCCACTCAAAATCTTGAAGCTTCTACTCAACAGTGACATCTGTCACTGCCACTCACCTTCTGCATCGCCTAGTCAGCCTTCAGTGATCAAGAAGCATACTCCTCTCACAGGGAGAGCCACTGCAGAGAGGGAAATAGGGGTGTTAGGCAAAATAGTAATCAACAATGGAAAGAATAACAATACTATCTCCCTCTCATATTAGTTTGAGAACTGAATGCCTTAAGACACAAGAAGTCCTTGATCCTTTATTCCATAGCTGGGTAGCTATTGCACCCTTCTGAACTTCAGTTTCCTTATCTGGAAAATGAGAATAATAAATACCAGCACATAATAAAGCTTTAAAAGGCACGCCTATGTGACACATAGTAGTTATTTAGCAAAAAGAGACTATGAAAATAGCAGAAATAATTATCATCTTTTATGCTTTCAGAGGTAGAAAATGCCTAATCTTCATAAAAAATTTTGAGTTAGAGATGCTGGGCGAGACATCAAAAAACTGAGAGTTGCTGCATTGTCTCTTTCCTCTGGGTCTGCATCCTTCTTTACAATAGCTTGTCAGGAAGCCTGCTATCCTTTGGAAGCACAGGATGGAAGAGAGTGTGTGTTTGCAGAGATAACATGGAGCGAGTTCAGGGGTTACTAATTGGGTTTCTGCTTACCTTTCATATTTATTCAGAATCCCAACCAGAACAGGTGTTACAGCAGCCTCCCTCCATCTTTCTCGATCCCCTCTCCCATCTGCTGACAGCATGCATGTCTCTTCCAAAGTCACTTCCCCACTTTAATTGTAAGTCTAATCAAAAACTGATGTGGCTGCAAAACTGGGAAGAGACAAACATGTCGCCTATGAGGATATTTTGAGATTGGATTTGATAGTACAATAAAAGTCCATACGAGGAGTGTTTAACTCTCTCCTGGAAGTGGAGTCTGACAGCCCTGACCCCCTACGTGGCCCACATACTTACCCCTTACAGTCTGATACTGGTTCAGGGGATTTAGAAAATGATGCCCAATTGCAAAGTTTTTAGAGTCTAAGAATTGCTTCCACGCAGTGCAGTTCATTTAATCCTTCCCAGAACCCTAAGGAAATGAATGTAGCCATCATAGTTCTGTTTTACAGATGAGGACACAAAGAGTCAGCAAGGTAATGTGACACGCTCTCACGGGCACAATTAGAAAATGGTGAAGGTAGGGGGAAAGCCCATATCTTCTACTCCCTTGTCCTTCACGTGGTGCACACATTCTCTACACCATTTTTCCTTCAGAATCCCGTTACCCTTTGGTGCAGAGTTAAAGCAGAGTTTCTGGAGCCATAAACCTGAGAGAACAGACTCTAGACAGCACTCACCCCTGTAAGTCAACCCCACTACTCTTATGCTCCATTTGATGAGGATTTTCATTTTCCCATCACCTCTGTCACTACTGCCATTTGGCCTCCTGGCTTCCAGCCTTGACTATCCTTATCCACAGGCAACCAGAGGAAACCAGAGGAAACTCTTGAGTGCAACTCTGACCATGTCAATTTCTTCTCTATTCCTGCAAAATGTTGCTTTAGAAAAAGGTACTCTGTGTCATGACCTACAGTGCTTGTTATTTCCTGCTCTCCTTTCTAACTGTGACCCTCTCCATTACACCATTCTCACTTTTGCACTTAAGCCAGATTGAACTGCTTGAAGAATCTGGATTAAATCAAGTTTCTTCTCTTTCGCATCTTGCAAATGCTGTTCCCTCTGCTATATGGTCCTCCCTTCACTTCTCTTCTGTTCATTGAGGAGTCACCTACAGATACTCTGCAAAGGTGGTACCTAGAAGTGTCCATGATGTGCTCCTCATCAGGGAGGGAAAATAACCTGAAAGCACTCGATGTCTGCTGCAACTCAGTACTTCTTGTTGCACTAGCAATGTTCCTCTGCAGGCCCTCTTTCCCTACCCTTAGCAGACACACTAGACTGGAAGATCCTTGAAGGCAGGAACTTTTCTTACCTATTTCTATACTCATAGCTTCTAGTGCAACACTGAGTAAAGCCCTGTATCAGTCAATCTGTTAAAACTAAAAATTCTTAGCATGAAAGATTCTTCTACTTACTCCAGATCACAGAAATGTAGAGAGCAAAGCTATCTCAGTCTTTATGTAATTCCCCTGCTTCAAATCATCCAAACTGCCTTGAACTTAAGGCTTAAGAAGACTTATGCACAATCCAGCCTTCCAGCTTTATCTTGCTCTCTCTTCCTTTATCTATCACATCATCTATCTGAATAAGGGGCACATATACCCTGTGAATATCTTGAGTACTTTTTCTCCTGTTTGCTCACTGCTTCATTTCTAGAACCTAGAAGAGTGTCTTTCAACTGCATGTTATCATTGCCTAGGAGGCTTTTAAAACATACTGATGCCAGAGGCCTACCCTATGCCAATTAAATAGAATTACTTGGATGGGCCAAAGATCAGTATTTCTTAAAAAGTACACTAGATTATTGTAATACGCAGCCAGGATTGATAAACACTGGAACAAAATAATGCTTGGCACAGAATGGGTATTTAAAAAGCATTTGCTCAAAGAATGAATGCATAAATACATAAACGTCCTGTGTTAAGATGTAGTTACTAATGTGCATTCGTTATCAGACCTAAGCCCCAAGCACACGTGCATATACTGGCTGGGAGCTGCTTGAGGGTGAACAAGCTGTATTACATATTTTTGCTTCTTCAATTCTAACTTATAATAGAAGCTCAATGTTTATTAAATGAATTTGCTGTTATGTATACCCAGGACAAGAAGCAGGAAGATCTACTGGACAGATGGAGAAGAGTGATGTAAAAGAGGATGCATGGAAAGAGGACACTTTGGAGTCAGATGTATCTGATTTTGAATTCCAACTTTATTACCTACCAACTCTGTGAACTCTAAGCAAGTTGCCTAATTTGTAAATGGGGGTAGATTACCCCTCTCAGCATGATTGTGCATCTTAAATGGAAAAAACAGCATGAAAGTATTTATCCCAGTACCTCATACATTAAAGATACTTAGATAATGTCTCTTCCCTTCTCCTTTCTTTATCTTCCCTTTGACACAAGTCTAGCTAGGCTGATTACGTTGAACCTTTGAGAGATGATCAGAGAAAAATGGAGAGAGAGAGAGAGAGAAAGAGAGACAGAGAGACAGGGAGAAAAAGAGAGAGGGAGAGAGAGAAAGAGAGAGAGGGAGATAGAGAAAAAGACAGAGGAGGGCAGTGGGCAAAGATAGAAGTGAGTCAGAGGAAAATCTGATGGTGGTTATAGAATAATGAAATAGCTGTTATTGACCACAGCCAAAACATAGCCCAGTCTTTAAGCCTCACACTAGGCATTCTTTTTTCCTCTGCCCAATCCAGACCTGCAACACAGCCATCAATAACTGTTCTTCATAAGCAACAGACAGTAAGTGCCATGAGCACTAGTGACAATATTTATCACCAGGTAAGCAGTTCCACATAGGGGTTGCTTGGGCCAAGCTCCTAACCATTTGGAAGAACTCCCAACTCTACTGATGCCTTCTGTCCTAGTCTTTCTTGGAATAAGGGGTGTGAAAACAATGCCGGCCAGGGAATGTAAGGCAGCTGGCTTCTAGTTCACCTTTTATGTAGTCACAAATGTATTCACCTATACAACGGAGGCAGGGACTCAATGAGATTGTCACTTGATGTCCCTTCTAGTGTTTCATAGATCTGGGGCTCATTGGAAGTGCATTTTCTCTCATTTAAGCAGTTAGTGATACATTTGACCAACCATACTACATCTAAGGAGATTTTACTTGATCTCACCTTTGGAGATGCTGAGACAAATTATTTTTTTGTAATGGGTTGAGCTACAAATTTGAGGTGGAAATAATATCTTTTTAATTGTTCTAACGATTTGCACTAGTTCCCAGTTGCCTTAATAACATGAATTGTAACTTTTGAGACTTCTCTCTTCTGATTTGTTTAAAACTGACAAGACTCAAGTGTCCCAAAAAGAAAAGTTAGTCCAAGGTATAATATAAATCTGAAACTCTTCCAAGGGGTTATTTGTTACTAACTTCATCCTTAGAGGGCTGTGAGCATTTTTCTTTGAAATCCTAGAAGCAATTTCTCTGTCTCTCTTACTCATCTACCTTATATTTCTCCCTTTTAAAAATCTTTCCTTAAAAATGCTATGTTAAAATTTCCCAACCTTCACCAAACTTGAAGCTAGGCAGAGCCTTGGAAATACCATAGGTTGACAAATTAGATAAGCTAAACTCTTATTCTTAGGGAGAAAGTCCTTTATCTCCTATGTATCTTTCTTTGAGTTTCTCTTTGGACGTGGCTTTTCTCATCACAAAGGTGATGCATTGGTATAGGCAAAAGTAGTCAACCGGCCGGGCACGCTGGCTCACGTCTGTAACCCCAGCACTTTGGGAGGCCAAGACGGGTGGATTATGAGGTCAGGAAATCGAGACCATCTTGGCTAACACGGTGAAACCCCGTCTCCACTAAAAATACAAAAGAAAAGAAAAAAAAATTAGCCAGGCGTGGTGGCGGGTGCCTGTAGTCCCAGCTACTTGGGAGGCTGAGGGAGGAGAATGGTCTGAACCCAGGAGGTGGAACTTGCAGTGAGCTGAGATTGTGCCACTGCACTCCAGCCTGGGCGACAGAGCGAGACTCTGTCTCAAAAAAAAAAAAAAAGGAGTCAACCACGTGACCCACTTTAGCTCACTATGTAATCATTCTGGAATTTTGAATAAAGAATACCTATAAAAATACTTTGTTCCTTCTCTGCCTGTCCCCTGTGAAAATATACTTTTCTTAGTGCTCTCATGGGCACTGGCTGGGTCAAGAGAGAATTTCAACATTCAAGAATCCTGGGTTGCATCAATTGCCACCATTCCCACTATAATTTACAGATACTGAAGACTAGAAAGTGTACGTATGCACAAATGACAAGGATTTAGAAATCCAGTTCATATCCAAATATCTTTCCAAAGAATGTATTCTGCCCCACCAAAGAAATACTCTACAAATCTTTGGTTTTGTTTTTTCATTGCAACCTGCTCTCTCTTACACTTGCTAAAGCATGCATAACCCCCTCCTCCCAATCTCTGTTTCCTTCTTCTTTCTCTAGACTCATCTCCCAACATACTTCCCTTGCCCAGACCACCCCAGCCACACATCCTCTCTAGTCCACAAGCACTCCAAACTCTTTCCCACAATGAGGACCTCAAGGCATGCTTTACCCACTGTGGTGGAATATTTTAATGCTACTTTCCCTCCCTCTACCCGAACATCTACTCCAAATAAACACAAATTTTTGTCTGGATCCTTTGCTCCATGAGGACTAAGATTTTTCTCTGTTTTGTTGATATCGTTTGCACGTTTGTCCCTTCTAAATCTCATGCTGAAGTGTGATTCCCAATGTTGGAGGTGGAGCTTGGTGGGAGGTGATTGGATCGTGGGAGTGAATCCCTCATGAATGCTTTAGCACCATCCCTTTTGTGATAAGTGAGTTCTTGCTCCATTAGTCCATGTGAGATCTAGTTGTTCAAAAATGTGTGGCACCTCTTCTCTCTTTTCTCTTGCTCCTGCTCTCACCATGTGATGTGCCTACGGCCCCTTCACCTTCCACCATGATTGGAAGCTTCCTAAGGCTTTGCCAGAAGCAGAGGTCAACACCATGCTTCCTGTACAGCTACAGAACCATGAGCCAATTAAGTTTCTTTTCTTTATAAAGTATCCAGCCTTAGGCATTTCCTTATAGCAATGCAAAAAGGACCTAATCCATTTGTTATTGCTATATCTCTGGTGTTTAGAAGACTTTCTGGCACAC